TGTACAATTTATTTTTGAATGAATTAATGTGTATGTTCAATGTTGATGTATTTATTTCACTTATCTTTTTCCTAAATTATGTTATTGGATAGTGCATCTTACTCCTCTTGTCTTTATAAAATTGTTGCGGTGTTTGTTTGTTTTAAAAGTCTTTATAGATACCAACGATGCCTATTCCTCACCTTTTCCTGAATGTGGAGGTCATTTTTAAAGAAGACGAGGGAGAGTAGACAACTCATGAGCTAGACTATTGTAACACTTCCCATGGACAAGTTACTGTCATCCTCACTAAAGTTTATTTTAGCTTTCTTCCCCGACAAATTCACTTCATAATACTACTTATCTTTACCTTTAAAGTTTCGTTTGATGTCTACCAACATAGAGCCCCAACTGCAACCTGAGTCCTCTGATGTACCCTTTTATACATTTGCTTTCATAGAATCTACTTCTGAAACCATAGGCAACTAGATATCTAATGAATTTATGTTCCTTCACCTTTCTAGAGAAACCACCCTGCACTAGAAATATGTCTAGACCTTCTCGTACTACCAACTCCTTCATCTCACTACATTTCTTTGATCATGAGGAAGAAGAGGATCCATCAAAGGATGATAAATAATTCCATACTCCATTATTGTAACATTCCACCACCAGTGTGGTGAAAATATTAAAGAGTTTATGCTTTGTATTGATGTTAGAATGGATGTGATGGTACACTCTTTAAGTTATTTTTTTTCTTTTCTCGACTACTATATAACTTTCTAAATATATAGATGAATGTAACTGGACCTACACAGTGACTTATTAATCATGCTTTATTAGAAGTTTGCATGGATGAAAAATAGTGTAAAGTAGTAATTAATCTTCTTAGCATACAGGTGAACCTGTTCAAGTCTATTTGTTTGAAAAATGTCACCTTGAAATGGACAACCAAACTAAGAAAGTGAATGAGAATTATAATGTATGATTTGAAAAAAAATATATTTATGCATAAGTGAGTATTACTCAAATCCATTTGCATGGCCAGATAATATGCTCGGTAATGAGTTGTGTAAATAGATTTGAGCAGCTTTTCTATAGTAGGAAACTTATGATTGAATATTGAAATGCTTAATAGGTACTCAGAAGACTGAATTAAATTAATCAATTGTAACATTGTAGTTACAAAGTTGAGATATGTGAAATTTTAATTTCTCTTCCATGTGAACGTTGAAAAATTATTGTATGTAAATCATGTTGCGTACTCTGATATGGTTTGTCAAAAAGAATGAGACCAAAATTATATTCAAAGTGTCAAGAGTTCGAATATAAATGACTCAAACTTGAAATATAAATGACACCGCTAAGTAGAACGTAGTAACCAATGTGGCAGTTAAGACATGTAGGATCATGACTTAGTTGGCCCGCTATGGACAACGTGTCGATAAATAATGGTGCTAATGTGTGTCATATAACACTACTACGCACCATATGACGTGCACAATTTACTAACATAAGTAATGACAAATAATTAATATTTTAATTTTATTAAATTTTTTGTTTAAATTACTGACAGGTGTACCAAAGAATGTTTAATGTTTTATTTTATTTTTTAAAATTATTAATAGTTTTGAAAATTTTGTATGTTAGTGCTTAATTCTTAACATTCTCACATATTTGAAAACCATGTTTAATTCTTAATGATCTAGCCAAAGTTTTACAATTTGTGGGTTTACTAGATCAGTCTTTAGATTAATGCAATTCACATATAGGTGAGTTGGAATATGTAAAGACACTTTCTAGTAGACTGAATGGTATATAACAAAAGAAAGGGAGGAGTTACTTGCTTGTCACTCTGCATAACCATACATATTTTTGGATTGGATTTCACCATAAAAATTCAAAATAAATATAGTTGATAAGTCTATTACATAATATTTTTATTATCTTAATATTTCATGATTACGTGATGTTTTCATAACTGATATGATGTGAAAAATAAAATATAGAATTGAAAAAAATCTAAATGGGACATTCTAATTTTAATTATCTAAATATGACTTAAATAATTAAAGTCTTCTTCTCTGTTAAGGGCTTGGTTGAAGATGTTTATGAGCTTTTATTTTATTGAATTAACTTTAATCTAATTTTAAAATGAGTTTTTACCTATTTTAAACCTAAAATTTTATTTTTATTTTTAATTTATTATTGCAAAAATAAACCACTCAACTCTTTTTTTCTTTTTTAAAATATACAATATAATTACCTCTATAAACATTTTTATCATCACTAATACTAGTATCAATTGTTGCTACTTTCACCTCCTCAACAATAACTATTGTTACTATTATTACTTTCATCGTGCCAATTGATTATCATTGTTATCAATATAATTATTATTATTACTATACTTATAATAACCATTATTCTCATTATCATGAGTCTATGTTACTCATTATTTTCTTCCTCTTTTTTGATATTTTATATCATCACCATTTTTTTATTAACTTGAATTGAAATTTAATATTAAAATTAAAAATTTGATATTAAAATTATAAAATTTAAAAGTAATTTTAGTTTTTACAACTTTTAAAACTTAAAAATAACAATCATGTCAAATAGGAATAATGGTTTTATAATTTTAGTTTAATTTTTTTTGTGATTTTTAGTTTTAAAAATTTAATAATAAACATTTAAATCAAGCACTCTTAGTTCTTTATTGAAGCTTATTTAGTGATCAAGTAAGAAAAGCAAAAGAGAAAGACAACACCAATAATGTTGATGAAATTTTGGCAATGAAAATACTAGTAAAGATTATGATAATTGCATGCATGATTATAATAATTATATTGGTAAAAAAAAATGATGAGATTATGTTGCGGGTAGTAATGGTCACAATAGAATTACCAAGTAATAGTGCTAATAGTAATAATTATGTGTCAAAATGTATATTAAAAAATTATTTTATATAATAGAAAAAATTACTAAAACTAACTTTAAGTAAAATATTTAGAAATTATTTTAAATAGTTACTTATCAAAATTATTAATTATAAATATAATTAATTATTAAAATAATTTATTTTTTACAATTAATAAAAATATACACTTAATTAAAATTTTATTCAAATCTATTTTAAAATTTAACCACCAAATTATATTTTAATAAATATATTTTATTTATAATGCTTGCTATAATACTTATAATATTCTATATGATTTTTTTTTTATAATTTTTCTATATGTTAAAAATTAAAAAAATATTTATATATTTTTAAATAAATTATTTAATTTATTATTTATTAATATAAAATTAATAGTGATAATTATTCTATACATAAGAAAGTATTAATTATTTTATCCTTACAATTATTTTAATTTTAATTTTTATATTTTCAAAATATATTAATTTTAGCTCATAGTTACGATTAGATAATGATATAACAAATTTATGCTATATGTTAATTTTTTATTACATTGTTTTTTATAATAACAACAGTAAAATAAATAAAAATTAACCATTTTAAAAAAATAATAATAAAAATTATAATATATTTTACAAAATTAAAAATGATATTTTTACATTAAATTTAATATAAAAAAATTAAAACTCTCTATTCTCTTAAAAATTGAACGATAGTATTGGATTATGTGTAGCGTTGGTCCACCGCATTCCATGGAAAGCGGTGTAGAAGAATCTCTTCGGCCACGTGGAAGAAATGAAAGAGAACATCCAAGTTGTCTGGGACCCTCCACTTATCCCCAATCAAAGCCTCTCCATCTCTCTATCTTTTTTATCTTCCTGCACCTCATTCCTTCTAAAATTTTATTTAATTTATTTTATAACAAATAATATATTTATATATATTACAGATTCTTGAACAAGTGTGTTTTGAAAAATATTTTTAAACATAAGTATTTTTCATAATATCTTTAAACGAGGGAAATTTTAAAATTAATTTTTTAATTAAGTCATATTTTTTACATTATACAGTTATTTTTAATTTAATGTTAACTTAAATTTTAAAATTTTTCATTTTTTTATTTTATTTAATATAATATTATATTTATTATTTTCTAAATTTATAAAATTTTAAAAAATTATATAATATATTTTTAATTATTTATTTTAAAAATTTTAATTTAATAATTATTTAAAAAACTCAATATTAATTAAAAATAAAGTTATTTATACCATGTCTTGTAAATTAAAAGAAGATTATACATCCTTTTACAGGTGTAATAATTATTACAATTAATTTTAGATTAATAAAAAATAGAATTAATAATTTATTTAAAAAATATAAATATTTTATTCTCTTAAATATTAGATATTTTATAATAAATCATTGCAAAATTATTTATTAGAATTTAATTTATAAAATATTAAAAAATTAAAATTTACTTTTTGCTGTCAACATGCTGAGCTGATAGAGATGGGAGTGAGCTCAGTATTTAAGGAATTGACAATAAGATTAAATTATAACTTTTTAATTTTTTATAAATTAAATATTAAAAAATAGAAGAATTTAGAATATATTTATAAAAAAACATAATTAAATCAATTTTTTTTTTTCGCTAGAAAAATCAATATTCTTTAATCCATGAGATCTTAAAAAAATAAAATCATACCGTTAATATAGCGAGAATATAGAGTGTTCTTTGAACCTTACTGCCTAACAACAATAAACTTATTTATTTTTTATTTTTATAAATCATGGTATGCACTAAAATGCGCGTTTGGGTGTCCCAAGCGAAATTTGGCACTCCCAATGGGTAAATTGATAAAAATGAAAAGCCACCAACGGTAGTGATTGATGGAAGCAAAAACTGATTAGAAACAGCGCCATCAGATTGGTTGGTAGAGACCCTTTTGGGAGTGAACAAAATTGACGAAGTACTGAAGAAGCGTTATAATTGTGGGGTTGACCAAAGCTATCGTGGTGCTACTGTGTTCAACACATCATATGCTGACAGAGACTTGCTCATATAAACAGTTACTTAAGGACATTGTTTTTCTTTCTCGTGTCCCTGTCTTTTTAATTGCTTCTTTAATTTTTTTTTTTCTGCTTTTCTCTCTCGCAAATGGAGCAGTTAGCCTAGAACTTCTTTTGAGCTTTGAATCTGTAAGTGGCTTCATCCCTTAAATCTTATTTTGTTCAATGAATTTTTGTTGCTACTTGCATGTTCTGAAAGCATGCCTTTTAACTTTTGGTATCCTGTTTTTGGTTTTGTATTTTAATTTTGGTGACTTTGGATGTATTTTGCCTGAATTGGGATTTTGTTTCTTGGGTCGAATTTTGATTTTGTATTTAGTTGAAGCCGATTTCACTCTGTAGGAATTCTGGGTACTTAGAACAAGCGGTGAGAGAGGATTGACTGGGTAGAGAGAGTTTGATGAATTTTAGTATTTGGGGCTCTCAACAAAGTGATTTGAAAGCTGGGGTTTTCTTCAAATGTATTAAGAATGTACAGTTTTTCACCTGGGAGAGAAGGGTGAAGGGATTTTCTTTGCTCTGTTTGTGTGAGATGATATCAATATCTATCTATTTAAAGGGGAACATTTTCCTAGACCAAAACACAAGGGGGAAATTTTCGAATATGGGTCATGAATCTGAAGGTACACTGAAGTGAATATTAGTTTGGTCTTGATATTACCGTGTAGTGTTGACTTAATTAAAGCCTTAGCCTTTAGTCGTAAAGTTGATTGATTTGCTAAAGTAGAGATTGTTTCATGGATTCGATTCCAGTAGTCAATTGTAATGTCAAGTGGCATGCATACTAATATTATTTTGGACATCTATATTGAATGGCATAATTGGGAGTCATAAATATATCTTTCACAAACTTCCAATCTTCCCTGGCCACACTATATTGGTTCTACTTGGATCTTTGCTACATAGTCTAGTGCAATATGGTCATTGGCTTTTGCAAATTATTGATACAATATTAGTGTACTACATCAACAGTTCCTTACTCATCTTACTTGGATTTACAGTGATACAGATACCCAAGATATAGAATTTGAAATGGATTCAAATGGGAGCATATGTGCTAACACCTGGACGAGGTCATCATCCTTAACATCACCTGCAAATGGTTTATCCTCAGATCCTCTCTCATTCCCAGGTATTGGTTTGCAGCATAATCAACGCAAATGGGATGATCCCTCAATTTCAGATTATGGGATCAGTGCTGAAGCACCTTACAAAAACTTCAACCAACTCTCTCAAACCCAGTCTCAGCTTCCTTGCAACTCAAACAATGAGACTAAGATCCCTGGTCAAGAAAACTTTCCTCTGAGTGAATCGTCACAAATTGGTAAACTCCAAGATTGGGACCCCAGTGTAATGTTGAACAACCTTTCCTTCCTGGAAGAAAAGATTCATCAGCTTCAGGGTCTAGTGCATTTGATTGTTAATCAAAAAGGGATCGGACAACCTAATGAACTTGTAACTCAGGAACAGCAGCTCATCACAACTGATCTTACATCAATCATTGTTCAATTGATCTCAACTGCAGGTAGTCTTCTCCCTTCTGTTAGGCATACCCTTATAAACACTAGTCCATTGGTTGGACAGCTTGGCCAGCTCCGTGGGACCATCGTACCTTCTAGGTTGGGTCCAAGTAGCAGCTGTATTCAACCACAAAACAATAGTGAAAAAAAAATCTCTGATCAGTCCATGCAGAGTGATCTACCTAATAATTGTGAAATGGAGCAAAACTACAATATCGAAGACCATGAATTGAAAGATGAAGATGCAGATGATGGAGAAAACCTTCCCCCAGGTTCATATGAGATTTTACAATTAGAAAAGGAAGAAATCCTTGCACCTCATACTCATTTCTGTACGATCTGTGGGAAGGGGTTCAAGAGAGATGCGAATCTTCGAATGCACATGCGAGGCCATGGTGATGAGTACAAAACTCCAGCAGCACTTGCAAAGCCACACAAAGAATCTGGCTCTCAACCAAAGCTTATCAAGAGGTATTCCTGCCCCTATCCTGGCTGCAAGCGAAACAAGGATCACAAGAAGTTTCAACCTCTGAAGACTATTTTATGTGTCAAAAACCATTACAAAAGAACCCACTGTGACAAGAGTTACACATGCAGCAGATGCAACACCAAGAAGTTTTCAGTCATGGCTGATCTAAAAACTCATGAAAAGCACTGTGGTAAGGATAAATGGCTTTGTTCATGCGGTACAACATTTTCTAGGAAAGACAAGCTTTTTGGGCACATTGCTCTTTTCCAGGGCCACACACCAGCCATTCCCTTGGATGACACTAAAGGGATAGCTGAGCCACCCAATCATGACGGCAAAGAAAATAACACTAAGGTAGGGAGTATCAACTTCAGTTTTGGATCGAATAATCCAAATGGAGATAGAGTTCAAAATGTCATGAATTTAAAAGGCAATATTGATGATCCTATCAATTATTTCCCAACATTGAACTTTGAAGCTAACTTTGGTGGGTTTAATGAATTCACACGACCTCTATTTGATGATTCAGAAGGATCATTCTCCTTTATGATGCCTGGATCTTTTAAATCTGAAGGAGAATCAACTTCTGATAATCTTTTGTAACAATTAATACTGCCGTTGATGCAGTTAATATCTATGTTTGTCTCTTCTTTTTCCCCTTGTGAAGGAATAAAGCTTTTTGGTTTATGTTAAATTTGTATTTAGAATATGCATTACAAAAGATAGTATAGTTAACTATTTTTTTTATATAATTGATTTTCTTTCTTTTTCCACTTAAAAAAATTGTAAAGCATATTAATTTCATTAGCATGTGTAATCCTCCTGATCTTACTTAGTGACATGATTGTATTAATTTCGTGAGGATGCAATTTTTTAAGAAAGATATATATTTTCTTGAGGATTAATAATTTAAATATGGTAAAAAAAATGAAATTATAGATATATGATGTTTTTTTGCTAAATTACGTGAATGTAGTCTCAAAAAACGTTATTGGTGATTTTTTGATAAAACAGAAAAAAAGTTGCAACCTAAGAGAATTCATTGACGTGACTCTGAGCTTGATGGAGGTTAGAAAACTCGGCCATTGGTGACCTTTAGGCCTGCAACTAGTTAAACGCCATTGATGGATGTTGGAGGTACTGAAAATTTTGCATTGACGACCTTTGACAAGTCAAGGAATCTTCCACCTTCACTGTAGTTGGTAACACTTGGTAGGAATCTCTGGAGCTCTAGAAAATCGCCATGGGCGATATTTGGATCAGAAATTTCTACATTTCACTGTTGTGTGCAGGCATGGGCAATGGTGCTGGTAAAAATTGCCAGGGGCGAATTTTGATGCTATAAATTCCAACTCCAAGTGCAGTAAAAAGCCATGTGCGTAGAAGAAGGGAGATGTAGTGTTCTAAGGTCAAAGAAGGTGAAAAAATTCTGAAAAACAATTGAGGGAAAAATTATTAAATTTAAATTAGAATAGAAAAATATATTACAAAAATAGTGAGGGATTCTATTATAGATTCAAGGATGTATATTCAGAAAATATTCACAATTTAAACGTAAGTATTCTTTTTCTAATTTTATATTTTAATTAGAATTTAATTTTGATTACAAATTTGTTAAATATATCCATATTCTTGAGTACTTTAGAAAAAAATTCACATTTATCCATATTCTTAAGTTGAAATAATAATAATAGTTAATATAAATTTTGTTAATAAATTAACATTTTTAAATATTTGTAAATATTTATTTTTATATTTATTAACATAAGTTTTAACTTTTATAACTTTTAGAAAAATAACGTAACAATTTTTTGTATTGGTATAAATAGTTATTGAATATAATAATTTATAAAATATTTATGCTAATGTAATAACTTGTTATTATTTTAATTATTTTGATGAAATTGGAAAATTTTTATGATTAGTAGTAATTGAAAATTATTAATATAATTAAAAGAATAGCAAAAAAAAATTTAGAAAGGTTATTTAATAAAATTATAATTTATTTTTATTTCTTAAAATTGTTATTAAATTAAATTCTATTAATTTTTGAAATTAGTATTTTTGACATTTATTAACATATTGTTAAAATATTATAAATTATTTTAAAAATGTAAATATGTTTTTTCGGTATAATTAGTTAGTAAATATAATAAATTATAACATATTTTGGGTAATGTAATAATTTGTTATATTTGTAATTATTTTTCTCAATTATAAAAATTTTTGAATTATTATTAATTGAAAATTTTAAAGATAATAAAGAAATAGGAAAAATTGAGCATGTTAGGTAATATAATTAGGAATAATTATAATTATAATAATAACAATTATTATTACTATTATTATATTTTTGTTATTAAATTAAATTCTTATAATTTTTTTAATTAGTGTATTTGATTATCATTGACATATTATTAATATTTTATAAATTTTATTAAAATAATGTAAATATATTTGTTTTAGTATAGATAGTTAGTAAATATAATAATTATAACATGTTTATGGTAATAAAATAATTTGTTATATTTGTAATTATTATTATTATTATTATTATTATTATTATTATTATTATTATTATGTTTTTTTTATTTAATTAAATTCTATTATTATTCAAGTATAATTAGTAAATATGAAAAGTATGAAAATACTTATGGTAATAAATAATTTATGTTATATTTTTATTTTTTATTTATAAAATTGATAAATATTTTTGTCTTAATTAATATTAATTTTTTATAACAGAAAATGAGATAATTACGTGCTCGTTACTTATCCATAATGACATATAGGAAGAAATAAATGTAATATTATAATTTGTCAAAAACAAATAAACAATTCTCTTATTAAGCACTTGTGAAATGATAGAGGCCTAAAACAAACACATTTCATTTACTTTATGGAGAATACACAATTATATTAGAAGATATTTGTATACTAATTAGACTCTGGATTGATAGTATACTAGTGATTGGGTGCACTAGTCTCTATTACGTAGTGGTTTAAAACGTATGATGAGTTTGTTTACTTACTTCATATGTAATTTAATGAGATATTATCTATTGTTTTAATTCGTTTGCTTCTTCTTCTTATTATTATTATTATTATTATTATTATTATTATTATTATTATTATTATATTTTTTTGTTATTAAAATAAATTCAACTAATAACATTAATTAGAGTTTTGGATTATTATTAACATATTTTTAATATTTTATCAATAAAACAATCACATTGGTAACATAACAACCAAACCATATTAATAACATAAAAAGACAATGTGAATAATTAAAACAACCATAAACGCCGTAAAAACAACATCAAATTAGGTGTTTCACCACATCATCACAACTACACATTGTGAACTTAGGTTTTGGAGTGGAGCATGAGGACATTGCCTTCTATTATGGTTCTCAGCTCGGCAAAGACTACACTGTCATGGTTTTCTCATTTCACGCATATCCATTTCATTAAGGAAACAAATTAATTTGGGACGATCTTTAATTGTGCACTTTAAGCCAAGATTAGGAAAAAGTTTGGTTCTCTATAACGTCGTCATGTCCTTTTGTTCCCAATCACCCCAAACTCTTTTTTATAAACTTTGCATACTTCATTGATTGTATAGATATCATCTAACATAAGCATGTTAATCAATATTTTTACTACAATATACAGTAATCACGTAAAGACATAAATATCTATCAGTATACATATCACCATAGTCATAGTACATTTGTCTTATATCAACTCTATATTCTTGCATAGTAGATAAATCCTGAACATGAAAAGTTTCACTGCGCTTGACTTGTTTGATTGAAGTCAGGTTATTATAGATTTAGAGAAAACATGTCCAACCTTTTTTCGTGCATATGCCTCACTCTCTTTCTGAGTAAATAATTAAGCCAATCAGAAGTAAGTTACTCTTAATAATGCAATGATAAGAAGATTTCGAGTATCTTTTAACATTGAATTATGCACTCAACTAGATTTGTAGTCACACGACTCCACCTATAGCCTCTTTTAAATGCTAGAACTCATTTATCTCATGGAATTTCATTAAGCCAGTTTTAATAAACCTCTCCACATTTCTGTAATTGTTCATAATGAATATTAAATTTGTGCTTGGTTCTTGAATAACCTTCAACATTTACAACAATTCATATTAGTAGTTTTAAAAGCATACACATATTCACATAATTGTTATTTTTAAAATATATCAAGGTCGTGAATAATACCCATGTAGACGACAAGTTTGTGCAAGTAAGGAGCCTTGAATTTTTGTAAAAAATTGGTCGCAATATGCCTAACATGTGAAAGGCTCTTGGAGGTTCCCACTATCCATTGCTTCTTCTTATGGCTACATTAATTGACTCATACCGATCAGAGATTATGGCAATGCCATCTTGGGTGACAATGCATCTGTATAAATTGTGAAAGGAAAAAAAAATTAGGCATCTGCAATCTCAATCTCAACAATAGCAAAAGCATCGGCAATATATTCTGATTATCATCTTGTGCAACAGCCACCAATAGAACATCTTTTTATTTGTCATATAAATGTGTTCCATTAACATGAACAAGTAGTTTGCAATGTCTAAATGCTGTGATATAGGGACCAAAAGTCTAGAACACTCGAAAAAATATTTTAACATTGAGAACTAATTGATCATCAAGGTAGGCCTTTACATCATCCAACTGAACAACAGAACTTCGAATATAGTCACACATTGCTACACACTGTTGCAGCAAACCTTCAAATGAGACTTCCCATTGACCTAAAATTTTTTAATTGCCTTTTGTTTTTTCATCCATGTTTTGTGATAGTTGTCATGTAGCCATACCAAGACTGAATCTCACAAATAACAAGATAAGAAAGTACAACAGTATACACACATGTACAATGAGTTTTATCTCCCAAATAAACTCGTTCTTTCTAAAAGTAGCACGAAAAAGTCATCCACAATCTATTATGCCTCATGCATTTACAATAAAATATATTTGGTTCTAATTCAACCACTTTGTAGTTCACTCCGTTTGATATATTGTAACATTTAATTGTTCGTATAATGTTTCTCTATCATTGAATTTCTTTTCAACATACAATTCTCTATCTACATCAAAATGACCAATCAAATGCAAACACAAATATGAAATAATTAAAAACTATAATTTAATTCATAAATAACATTACTAAAAATAACACATACCAAAGTTTGCATACTCTGAAAACTTAGATTTATGCATAACATCAAGATCTAGCAAATGCACGAAGGGTAGCTCCCCAAATGGATGTTGTCCAATCACTGTGTTTAACAAATGGACCTCGTTATTGTTAAGGATTTAGTAAGTGTACCAAGCTTTCGATGCAATACAGAGAGTTGTCGTATCTATAGGAAATGTGAACACTTAAGCGATTTTAGCTATCCAATTTAAAATTAACAAATTCCTAAATATTCACAAATGTACAACTAAGTAATATTTTGTTTTTTTTATAGTTTGGTTCATAGAAAATAAATGCAAAAGCAAATAAAAGTAAATTGAACTACTATGATAAGATTGGGAATTAGACTTCATCTATTATCCTCTTCATATTTTGATTATAACACACATTAACAATTACCAAAGTTCTATAATACACTCTCATTATATTTACTCGTTATATTCTTCTCCCTAGGAATGGAAACAGGCCAAGCCGCCTCACAGGGGTTTGTGACCTGACCTAACCTTTTTAATAAACAAATAAGACTTTGGCTTATCTTAAGGTCTGTTTAAGTAAACAAGTCAGAACTGAGCTATTTATGAAGTCTGTTAAGCCTGACAAATTGACCTATGTAAATATATATATATATATTATATAATTTAAAAATAGAGTTGTCAAAATATATTTAAATAATAAAGTTATTTAATGATATATTTTTTATATTCTTAATTCTGTTATTATTAAATTAATATATCATATTATAATTCTTTTTATTTCTAATTATAATAAACAAAAATTATATTCTATTAAAAATTAAAAATATTTATACACGATTACACTTTTTAAATAATAAATTATCATATTTATTATATTTAAACAAGTTAAAGAATAGTTAAGTCTTTGAGCAGGAATAAGACACAGTCAAAATTAAAGAAAATAAAATTTAAAATTAAAATAATAAAATTATATTAATATATTTTTTACACTCTTAATTTTATTATTATTAATTTAATTATTTAATTATTACATTAATATATTATGTTTAATTCTTTTTCTTTATAATAAATAGAAATTATTTAAATATGAATTATATTTTATTCAAAACTAAAATTTTATAAAAAAATAATAGAAAAATAAAATAAAAAATTTAATATACAATATATATATATATAATAGGACCATATAGTAAATAATATAATTTTAAATAAATTATATATAATAATATAAATTTTTTATAACTTACTACGTGTTTTATCTTTATTAGTATAAATTTTTTTGACTAAAGTACTTATAAAAAAAATTTAGATATCAGGTCCATAACACGCAGGCACATACCTAAATATAAATATGTCAAATTTTAAATAATTATTTTATATTATATTCAAAACTAAAAATATTTATACATGATTACGTATATTTAAAAAATAAATTTATTTAATTATAAAATATTACATTTGTTACATTTAAATAAGCTGAAAAATTGTCTAAATCTTTAAACATAAATAAGAAACAGTTAAAACTAAATAAATTAAAATTTAAAAATAAATATTAATATTCTATTAATATATTTTTATATTTTAATTTTATTATTATTACTATATTATGTTATAATTTTTTTATTTATAATAAATAGAAATTACTTAAATATGAATTATATTTTATTTAAAAGTAAAAATTTATAAAAAAATGATAACAAAATAAAATAAAAAATTTATTATAATATATATATATATATATATATATATATATATATATATA